AAAAAAATCCTTTTGGGGGGAGGGCTAGTAGGTTTGCGTCCTGTAAAAAAACAAAAGGCCTTGGGAAAACAACTGGTGCAAAAGTGAACATCCACAATCAAAATCACGAAAGGAATTAAAAAACAGGAATTAAGAAGACACAAATAATAAAGAACAAAAACAAATCAAAAATAAAAAACAAACAAAACAAAACAAAAAGAAACAAACAAATCAAAAACACTAAATAAACAAATTAACAAATTATGAAAAAGATATTTCAAATTAGGCTCATCACTAATAAACTGCAAAATTTACCTAGTATGCTACTGGCTGATGATATCTTCCAAAATCTTTGGGTACTAGTGCAACAAACCATTTGAAGTTAACCAATAGGTCGCTAGTCTGCCAAACACTCACAAAATGCTATTCATACGCAATTTTCAAAAAAGGCAGTAGTTCACAACGGCAAATATCGGGGTACTAGTGACAAATCATGGAAACGAGATCTCAAAGGCMTTACATCTAAAGAAACAGCACGACAATTGCATGTATGGCAGTGTCTAAGTTTGAAAGATGTGTTGGTATGTTATTTAGAAAAACAACTTGCAAAATCACCATGGAAGTTTACTATATGGAGGTTGGCCTTTGCTTTGTCCAGAGTGTCCTGGTCAGTATTGTCTTGGTATGACAAGATGGCCTTGTATAATTGTAGATTAATCATGGGGTGAAAAAAATCACTGTAACAATAGAAACAACAATCCTTAAAAAAAGTTGTGTAGGGTACTAGCCTGCGTAGCAGCTCTGGGGAGGAGGGATGGGGAACAGTACTGTTTTGCACCAAAATGAGGCAAAGTTGGTTAAAAACAAAAAAAATTAGTCCCTTTGAGCTTGTTTTGTTTTAATGGCAGGAAAGTAGTTTTAAATGTTTAATATGATTGCCTGGGTGTGAGAAGTCTTGGGAAAAACTGTCAGTTGCTGGATGTTTCACCATCCTGTGTAGAAGTCYTCAGAGTTGCAGAAATTCAAACAGGGCACTCTGAAGATGACTTCCATGCAGGATGTCGAAACRTCATGTTACTATTATAATAACAGTCTTCCTCAAGACTTCTTGCACAGGCTGGACAATGATACACCTATGTATATCCCTTATACCTGGATTCAGTCCATTCACTCTTAAAGTAATTTTTGTTGTTAAAAAAAGTCTCAATATTTTGACATGACTTGGCACTCTTCAGGGTTTTCAGTAAAAATTTAAGTAGATGTCAAAATAGAACAAGAAACTGTCTGTTTTCTGCAATCGGTTAACAAACAACAACCAAATAATTCACGAATAAATTCATAAGTAGTGGACGATTAACTAGGCTATGATGGGCGATTTTCACCAGCTGCTAGCTTCCACTGAGAACCCTGACTCTTGTACATATATAGCTGCAACATGTTACCCTATAAATTATTGTTAAATATGAACTTGAATTGCATTTAATATGTTGTAAATTGTTGATATTTTGTATTTCATTCCAATTAAGCATAAGTACTCCCTGGTTGATGAGAAGGATATCCCAATTGTTAAAAAGTTTAGATTTGAGGTATGTWACTGATGCGTTCTCAACTTTTGAAGCTTCAAATAGAAGTACAGTAGAATGACGTGATGTTATTGATTGACAGGCAAGAGTGGATGTCGACAGGGATGGTAATGGTGCTAATATCTATGCTTATGCTTATGATATGAACAAAGAAAGGACTAGAGGCTGCTATTTTCATGAATATATATGGTATGTATGTAATATATACAATATGAGCGGGCGATCTGTATGAGGATTTAAAACAGCGAGCTGAAAGCGAGCTGTTTTAAACCTCGTACAGATCGCCCGCGAATATTGTATATTACTTATGAAACGTTGAGGTAAACTAGCTCAGGTTTTAAAGAAACTTTTGAAAAAAAAATCAATCTGACCGAGAAAATCAGAGTTAAAGTTTATGCAAATGAACAAGATATCTGTATGTAATATACAACTCTCTTCATGGGCTAYGATTTCTATTGTGTTTTGCCTTATGAATATTAATGAGTTTTATAATTTGAATTAAATCATGAGACAGAGTTTGAAGTTTTGAAACCGTTACAGTCAGTAAAGTTATCAACAGACAGTCTTTGAAAATAAATCAAGGAGACTCTGGATACTAATTAAGCCATCCAAGCGTCTAAAAGTTTATGATTTGTAGTAATAGTTGAGTTTTTAGATTTCTTTAATTTACACTGTGTTAGCTTCAATTGTGTGTAAACTATGCAATGATATTTACTAATATAAAATTTTCGATATATAATGCGCGCTTTGATTGGCTGACGACCGTGTTTATATCAGAGGACAGAGACATGGCTTACCAGCAAAATTTGCTTTTCGCTTGAAAAATTTTATAAATTAAGAAATATAAAATGGCTGCTTGTGTCTCTGTCCTCTGATATAAACACGGTGGGAGTTGAAAAACACTCGAGAAGCAAGAGAAACACTTGCTATGCTCGTGTTCCTAAGCTTGCTTCTCTTGTGTTTTTTGAACTCACACCGTGTTTATATCAGAGGACAGAGACACGCGCGCCGTTTTATATTTCTTAAGTAGATAAACCTTGTGGGATTTTTAAAATTATTTTCATTGTCTTCTACATGTACAGTATACTCACAGATATTTTAAATTTGAATGGACCACTACTGAATAGAAGAATATATTTATTTAGTACATTGTTTTGAAGCTAACACAGTATAAATTAGGAGATTGCTGGAATGGTTTATTTTGACTGGCAATGCCATTTTTTGATAGCTCTCATTTCATTGATTTTTAAATACAAAATCAAACACTGTTTTTATTTTAAAAGAAAAACATTTGCTGTATTCCATAACTTTGAGTCACAAAAAAGGTATTTCTTACAACATGTAAAAATATTCTCTATACTCTGATGGTSTTTGGTTTGCAGGGAGAGACACTGTGGTGGTGTTGCYCCAGGGTTTAAAGTAATACACAAGAATGGAGTCACAGTAGGTAAGTATAATACTATGCTAACAATACTATAAACACCTTAAACATTTTCAGTATTAACACTGGCCTTACTAAGTGCAGTGGAACTGAACCAAGGCTTGCAGAATTCAAGAACAATGATATCTTCTGTATCTTGTATTATAATTAATATAATTTATGCTGATATTCTTAAAATGTTTGTTTTTCATAGTACGACAATAAAGTTTCAGAGTGTAATAAATTTATTCAATAAACTGTGAAATTTATGTACCATCTGATATCTGAATGTTTTTTTCTCTAACAGATAATAGGCTATATAACCTTACCATAGTACCAAATAATTGCAAAAAGTACAAAAGACAAAGAACTGAAAAAATGGATTGGTATGTTTATTAATCATAATCATTCTATTCATTGATACCATTASTGTAAATGGGTTTGTTTTATTGGTAGTTATGGTGAACCAAGTGAAGACCAAAGTATTTACTGGACAGCAGTTTCCAGGATTCCCCCTCCTGAACCACACGAAGAGGTAAAATGTCAGTTGGATACAGGGAGGGGTGGGGGACCGAACCATTTGCTGTATGTTTGCTGTATGTTTCCCCAGAGTCTTGTCTTCTTTTGTGTATTGCCTGTCAAACAAAATATCAAAAGGGGTCTATTTATTGGTGTGGGATTAGTATGAATAAAGTAAGGTATTGATGAAGGAAAGCTAACAAATTGATTGATTGATGAGTGCATTTATTGTTGTCTGACAGGAACTCAGTTGCACAAGTTATAGTAAATTCTATGATGCAAATGGAAACCTAGTTAGAGAAGAAGGTGAGAAAATACTGCCCAATGTCTTGCATCTCCATCATCCCCACTAACCCTATCATCCCCATGAATCCTATTATCCCCATGAACCCCATCATCCCCATGAACCCCATCATCCCCATGAACCCCATCATCCCCATGAACCCCATCATCCCCATGAACCCTATCATCCCCATGAACCCCATCATCCCCATGAACCC